CTCGGCTCCCCCCGCCCTGCTGGGGCCCCGCGCTGCCCCGAGAGCCGGGCCGGGACCGCGCCCACCTGCTAATTACAAGCACAGAAGGAGAAAGGGGGCCCGTGAAAATGCATTTAGGGAGAAGCCCCGTGAACGTTCAGAATCCAGGGTTGTTACAAATATATGTTTATATAGAGAGAGGTATGGAGAGGGAGAGAAAACCACTGATCGCCGCCTCCTGCGTGCTCCCTGCGGGGCATCCAGCCGGAACCCCGGCCGGGAATCCAACCCGGGGCCTGGGGCCTGGCATGAGACCCAACCCCCTGAGCCACACCGGGGGGCAGGTCCGGTGATTTTATTTTTAATATATATTTTTAACCTCCTGGCACACCTGTTTTGCTCATATTTCTTATTGCACACTCGGCCTCTTCGTGGATGCTGTTTGTAGTGTTTTCTCTAAAGCACAGAAAGATAATTGTCTTTCCTCAGGTATGGGTGATCGAAATCCATGCATACTTTAGAAACGTCGCCTTTAACTTCATAACTTAGTGATATTCATGGGCTAGTGCTCATCCCATTACCATAGCATGCGATAGGGGGCTCTTCACCCCCTCAAGGCTTGCTCCCCAATCCTATCATGCCGGCCAGCAGAAGTTAGGGGAAAAGGGGGGAGTGAGAGGAACTTCAGGGCTCTCCTAGTGCGAGTGTCCAGGAAAAGGATTGCGATGGACTCGCAGATGTGCTGCCCAGATGCACCTTCACCATGCCCCGGCTGCTGGGAGGGCTGTGTGCAGGCGCCTGCTCAGCTGCAGAGAGCCCCTCAGCCGGCCTGCGGCCCCCGAGCTCCCTGTGGACTCCTCGGAGGCGGCCTGTCCGACCCGTCCAGTCTCGATTCCCTCCCTCCCTTCCACAGGTGCCTGCCCGAAGGGCACTTCGTTGTTGTTGTTGTTGTTTTTAATATATCTTTATTGATTTCAGAGAGAGGAAAAGAGAGGGAGAGAGATAGAAACATCAGTGGTGAGAGAGTCATTGATCAGCTGCTTCCTATAAGCCCCTGACTGGGGATCGAGCCCGCAACCCAGGCATGTGCCCTGATGGGGAATCGAACCCCGATCGCCTGGATCCTAGGTCGACGCTCAACCACTGAGCCACGCCCAGCCAGGCAGGGCACTTCTTAATAAACCTCCTACACACTACCACTGTCTCAGTCTGCAACCTGGAGACTCCAACCTGTAACAAGGACCTGGCTGCAAGTGGCCACAGAATCTACACATTCAGTTTGTAGCTTTTTCAATTTTCACAAATAAGCTGAGGTTCTTTCCCTTCTGCCTCCTAGGGAGTGTTGAGAAATTGAACATGCCATTCCTTCCACCCCGTCTGCACACTCAGGTTAATTTTCAAACATGTAACTGCCATATTTAGAGAGGAGGCCTTGGATATCATTTTCTTATCTTTTATGGCTTGGAAAACTTTCTCTTCCATGACTAAAAAGTTGATTGTGACACTTCTCAAAATTGGCCTCTCTTAGGTCCTGGTCCTTTCCCTTGGGAAACCAACTACACCCAGGTTCCAGGATCTGCCTCTGTCCCAGGGGCTCACAGGCAGATTCAGGAGAAGGATTTCTCAACTTCAAGTTCACATCTTAAATTGAAGGCCCAAAAACATACCCGCGTTGACCAATCCTCCCTGAACCAGCCAACGCCAATGCATTGGTCCTCGTCCTTCCAGCCTGCTGGTCCCCCAGTCCCCAACCCATGGCTCAGAGTGGTGGCCCAGCAAAGGAAGGAGCCCTGAACGATGCTCCTAACTTGACATCATTCCCTACAACCCCTCCTCTCCCTCACACACACCTTAGCAACCAACACATGTGCCCCAGACCCACTCCCCACCCCCACGTAACAGGGAAGGATCATGAGTCAGCTCCTTCCCTGGCAGTGGAAGTATCTGGGTGCAGCACCTTGGGGTCTAATGGGGTTCAGTGGCCTGCAGGGATGAGGGGTGCTCAGCCCAGCAGCAGAATCTCTACTTCTGGCTGTGCCTGCACAGCACCCTCTGCTGACCTGGGCAGAATTTTCAACCACCAAAGTGCTGTTTAAAATTATGTACATAGGAAATAATTTTCACTAAAATGATTATATGTCTGCTCTCATAAAATGTGCCTGAATTTTATAAAATTTTATATAATAAATGGGGATTTGACTTTGGGTGGTGGGCACACCATGCAATACACAGATCATGTATCACCGAAATGAACACTTGAAACCTATATGACCCTATTAACCAATGTAGCCCCAATACATTTAATCAAATTTTTAAAAATTGGTACTTATTCTGCATAGAGTTTCCATGTACATGATTTTATGTTGGAAAGCTGTGGAAATGTCACCACCTGTCTGTGGTTGGAGAAGCACAGCTTTTGGCTGGTCCCAGTGTTGACATAGAAACGGCTATGTGACAGTGAAAACGTCCCTCTGAGATGAATTATCAACCACAGGCATCAAGCCCGCCAAGAAAAGGGCTCCCATTCTCTTCTGTCACCCCAGGGCTGATGGAAACAGAGGGACTGGGAAATAGCCAAAAAGCTGACCTTCCAAAAGGTGTCCATCAGAGCTCACAAGGTGTGTTTATTTGACTTAATGAGTCTCCTTTTTGACATCTATCCTGAGTAACCCAGGATGCTGGCAAGGATTTAGCTGCCGGGTCTGTTCTGAAGCATGTTGATAAAGTCCAATGTGAGGAGGAAGGTGAGTACATGGTGATACCTACCTATGCCCATTAACAATTTTGAAGGACTACATTGTCATCTTCAAGGTATACGATCTTTAATTAGTTTAATGGAGGTTACAAACATATGTATTACACATCTGCATTTAAAAGACATCCATTGCATTTTTTAAAACTCTGAGTATGTACATATCCAAATGTTTCCAGTGTTACCACTGGGGGGGGGGGTGCTATGGATTGTTTTTAGTATTAGTTTTCCTGAGCTGCACTTTCTGGAATGAACGTATATTCTGCAATTATGAGCGTGCAGTACTCATGTAATAAAAACACAATGGAACCAGCTGTGTGTGTTTACCTTGGCTCTACTAAATTAGAGACCATTTACCCAAATAGGACACGCATGGCTCAAACACCCCAAAACTGCTATCGTACAACGTTTTATCATAATGATACCTCACCTCCCAGCTTTTACCCAGAAATGCTTTTTCCCGGGAAAAGTAGGGCTCTAGCTCCCCTGGTTGATGTTCCCACCTCAGGCTCATGTGGTGGGAAAATGCTTTTTATTCTCCACCTTAGGCTTTTTGCAACACAAATACACTCTTCGGGTCATGATTAATGTGTTTTAATGGGCTACCCATTTAAAAAAAAAATCAATAAAAATAATTTACATTAAAAATAGAAGGCAATTAGATTGATTTGGATGACCTATTTTTAATCAATCCCATTATTTATGGATCTGAAAACTCTCAGGGCCTCTTTCTCCGGAGCCTTCAAGGATCAGCTTTTCTGTTATTATGTGTGGACAATTTTAAAACAGGAGGCACCAGGTTAATTGAGAATTTGCTAAATACTTATTTTAAAAAAATGACCTACCTTAGAAATGTTCCCGGATTGCCTCTCTCCCTTCTTTTATCAACCCATTTCAGTTCCTTCTTACTGCCTGTGGTTTTACCGGAGTAAGTTTGAAAAAAGATAGAAGAAACTTTGTTCTTGAAAAGTTTTGGTGTATCCAGTCCTTACTTAAGATTAGATTTTATGTTTATAATGTTACATCTTTTCCCAACTGTCTTTAACTTTTTATATTCAACCAACGTTACTACTGCTTCTAATGTTCTTTTTTAATAAGAATTTCTGTGTCTCTCTCATTTATCACAACTCTTTAACATTGTTATAAAATGTGCAGAATTTAGTGCGGCGTTTCTTTGTGTTTTTTTGTGTGTTTTTTTTAAGGAATTCTCACTTATTTTCTAATTTTAATTATTATTATTTTACCTTTATTGATTTCAGAGAGAGGAAAGGAGAGGGAGAGAGAGAGAGAAACATCAATGATGAGAGAGCCATTGATCGAGCCCGCAACTCGGGCATGTGCCCTGACCAGGAATCGAACCCCGATCGCCTGGATCCCAGGTTGACGCTCAACTGCTGAGCCACGCCCGGCCGGGCTATTTTCTAATTTTAAATGTCTTGCTCATATCCCAGATTTTTTCCTACCACTGAATGGAATGTATACTTTAGAGCTCTATGAATTCTCTTCATTCTATAGTTTTGGAAGTATTTGACAGAAAAAAAAATACTAACTCCCATTTCAATGCCCCGTCCTTTCTATGGCCTATAAGTAGTATTTTCACCACATACTGGAATTCAATATCAAAATGTTATGTTCTTCCCTTGCAGCTATTCCTCTAAAATTAATAATAAAATTTGCTGGTGTTCAGAGGAAAAGACATCATCTCTATTTCCCTAGAAGTCACAACACAAACAAAGCGGCCGCTGTGGTCACAGGGTGTGTGACTCGGAGAAGGCAAGGGCACAAGTGGCCGGGGCCACCTTCAAGGCCAAGCGCAGGAGTTAGCCAGGCGAGGGGGGCCGAGAAAGCACCCACGCAAAGCCCAGGGAGAGAGGGAGTGTCAGGTGACAGGGTAGGGACGGGGCCACTGGCGGGAACCCCGGTCCAAGGCCCTTGCGGAGCGGGAGATGTGTTGGGGGCCAGCTCGCGGGGGCTCAGGCACAGTGGGGGGGGGGTTGTAAGGTGGGCAGGGATCCCGCAGGGATCCCGCAGGTTGAGCCCGTCTCGCCAGCCCTCCAGCTAGCGGGCGGTGCCCTCGAGCTCATCTCGAAGTCAAGGCGTCCTCCCTGCCGTGGCCACTGCCACAGCTTCTGCCTTCGGGGCCACCTTTACCGTTTCCCCTGATTCTTGGTCCCTGACACGCAGAAGTTCCCATTCTGCCCAGAGCAGGCATTAGACATCGAAGAACAGAAAACAGCCCCAAAGTAAAAAGAGACCGTAATGAAGCGGCTGTGTGTTAACCGTCATCAGCTGGGCCTGAGGTTCGAGTCCGTGTTGACCGGATGTCACGAAGAAACCGGGAAAAGGTCTGATGTCGGCGCTATGGGTGTGGCCAGGACACACGAGCCATCTGCTCGGGAATATACCCGAGCTGGGACAATTCCTAAAATGCCCATCGTGTCCAACTACCAAGGATGTTCTTAAGATTAGCATCATCTCTGGAATCAGGGGAGCTCGAGGCAAAAGAGTGGAAAAAAAAAGTCGTAAAAATTCTCACCCTAAGTTT